GTGTGTGTGTGTGTGTGTGTGTGTGTGTGTGTGTGTGTGTGTGTGTGTGTGTAGTTAGCTGTTTTTACCCCCAGATTCTAAACCAGTTTGTAAATTCCTGAGTGTATGGAACCAGAGTCTGACCCACATGACCAGCACTTGAAGCATTTCTACTTCACTCTGTCTTTGATGGGTTCCTGAATAATTGATGTAAAGTCAGGCAATGATTGAGCAGTGACAGTTGCTAACCTCCATCATCACTGCTGATGAAAAGGAAATGGTCACTGGATGAGGTTTTGGTTACAGAAACTACCAAAGCTATCTTTAGATTTCATATGAGGAATAAACCATGAGTATCTGAAGCCTCACTCCCCTTCTGCTGTCACCTTGGACTTTGTCACTGTTGTCTCCAACTGCTCAACACCTCCCACCTGCAAGTGGGTTCTATGGCTGACATCACAAGGCCTTACTGCTCTGAAGTGGCTGGTGCTGACTGGCCACTGGAGACTGTTGTCAGATCTGGTTTTCTCCTGGCATGAAGTCAGGTTCAGCCTGCTCTGCTCCCTTTGGCATAGGACCAGCTTCAGGGCAGCTGTAGTGTCTCTCTAGACCCTGTTTTGAAGGGGTTTGTGAACCCCTAGCCCACACAAATGCCTGAGTCAGTATAAAACAAAGACTGACCACATGTTGGCCACAGGGCACTTAGCTCAAAACACCCCACAGTGCAGTGGTTCTCAAACTTCCTAATGCGTTGACACTTAATACAGTTGTGGGTGATCCCATCCATAAAATTTTGTTGCTACTTCATAATGGTAATTTTGCTACTGTTATGAATTATAATGTAACTGATATGCAGGATATCAGTTATGCAACCCCTGTGAAAGTGGCATCAGATGCCCAAAGGGATGGAGATCACAAGTTGAGAACTGCTGCCAGAGTGTAAAGAGAATAACTGGAGATGGATGATTCTCCTACCTAACCATTTCCCTCCATTTACTTCCTTATTTGCAAGGTAAGCCTTAATGATTTTTGGTTTTAATTTTGAATAAATCAGATAAAGATGTTTATTTCTTTAAGGGGAAGAAAAAGTCATTGGTCCCAGGCACTTGAATTCTATAGAAGCCAAAGCAGCATGTATGGTGGCCTCTTTCACCACCTCCTGCTCTGTCTTCTCATGGCTTTCTCTTCTCCTCATACCTCTTGTCCTGTCCCTCAGCTTTCCATTGTAGGTAGGCTGAACCAAACTGTCTCAACCCCCTGAATGCCTGTTCCTCTCAAATGACCCTAAATGTCTCCATCCTAAATCCCAAAAACAAAGGTTTCAGTTAGCTTACTTAACTACAGGGTTGACCCAAACAGAGGTGGGGCTTGAAAAGGGACCCACGGGATAAGTGGATCCTAAGGAAGCTTGTCTGCCACAAATACAGGGCACAGGTAATGTGACATATAGTGCCCCTTATGACTCATGTTATTGCAAAATACTGATTTGTGGCGAGACCGTAAGAAAAGTGATGTTTTGAATTGAAAGTTGAGATTCCAGCAGTGCCTCCCCATCCCAGAGTATTACATAGTTGTGTGGCATTCTGAGTAAAAGTGCTCAATGGTGTAACTGTCAGATGGTGTTCGTGTAAGCACATCTAAAAAACCATCAACAGAAACAACTGGAGTGCACTTAGGGAGTGTTGTTGCATGAATTACCTCTAGTTACCACTCTCCTGGAAGAATAGGTACTGTTGTTTTTCCTACTTTAAAGATGAGGGAACAAGACACAGATTTTAAGTCCTTTGTAAAAAACCACAGGGCTGGCTAGAATCCAGGCCTGAATGGTCATCTAGGAAACCAGGCTCAAGTCTGCACTCTGCACCTCTGCCACCCTGACTTTATCAGATTGCAGGCATTCAGTTGAACCAGTGCAGAGGAGGCCAGAGCCAAGACGGAATGTGACAGCTCAGCTCTGTGGAAGGAAGTGTTTAGCAGTCTAGAGAACCATTAGCAAGGCTAGCAGAGAGGAGAAGAGCTTTTGGAGCTGCCTGATGTCAGTCCAGGGACCCTTGCCTCAGAATTACCCAGGATGCTAATCTAAGCCCAAATCAGATCTTTGTTTGTTTGTTTTTGTTTTTCAATACAGGGTTTCTCTGTGCAACAGCTCTGACTGTTCTGGAACTAGCTCTGAAGACCAGGCTGTCCTCAAACTCACAGAGATCCGCCTGCCTCTGCCTCCCAAGTGTTGGAATTAAAAGTGTATGCCACCACCACCTGGCCAGATCCATATTTTTAAGAGCTCTCTGGATGATGGTAATATGTAGATGGGTTTGAATTCCTGGATTTGGTGGTTGTTTTTTGTTTTGTTTTGTTTTGTTTTGTTTTGTTTACTTCCACATTTTTCCTTTAGTACCAAGTAATGAAGAAGTTGCAAGTCCCTTTGAAAAATGCCTGTACACTTGAAAATAAAAGCAGCAATTCAGTATTACTCTAGAGGTACTGCCACCTGGTTCAAGCTCAGAAATAAACACCCATTATGTTTATAGGGAAAGCAAAATCCTGGTTTTTAGCGTGGAGACCCACATTCTCATCTATTCACGTTTCTACTGAGCACATTCTAGGTGCCAACCTGTCAGAGGACATACATTGTACCAGATGCTACCCGAGGGGGAGATGCAGGAGGACTCAGAATGTGGAGCTATGCTCACTGCAGAAAGCCTCCCCAAGAAGTAAACAATGCAGTAGATACAAGGGATGGACAGATCAAGAATGGAACTGCTCATTTAGAAGGCCAGGCACAAGCAAAGGACAGAGGGGTTACTGGTCAAGAGGTGTACAGGAAAGAGCCACAAGCTGTAATAACAAGTACATCTCGGGAAAAAAAAAAAAAAAAAAAAAACTCAGGAAGCAGACAATGCTGGATTCTGATTCGGAAAGCAAAGATACTGAGTTGGATTCTTGGTTCTGACATGAAATCAGGGATAGCCTCAGGAATTGTAATGCTGGGTACATAAGGGATATACTTGTCCAACAACAAGAATCCACGAGGTCAAAGAATGGAGGAGTCAAGAGGCATGGCTCACTTGTGGAATGGGCATGACTGTAGGGTCAAGGCAATGAGAGAAGAACACAGCATGGGGACAGACCTTCCTCTGACACACACATTAGGCAATGACTGGCAGCAGTCCTCACACCACAAGGCTACAAAGATAGTGGGTATCCATCGCTAAGCCTGAAGCAGGTGGCAGAAACTCTGGAGTGAGTAGTTTTTACATTCAACCATGTAGGTGATTTTATACACAGAAGTGGTATGCAGTTTCCTTTTAAAATAAATACATAAAAAGAAAATGAGTGGATTTAAAGGTTTTGCTTTAGTCAATAGTAAAAAGTATGGCAGTGATGTGAATAACATTTCGAAGTTTAATTCAGATGAACCTGGGAACTCCCTGTCCAAGTCCCAGGGAAAACTTGGAACACTCATCACGAGAACTGCTATTACAGAAAGAAGACAAAGTCATGTCTGTCACATATAGCTCATCTTCAGTGACCAAGAGCTTGAAGCTTATACTAGCACAGAGCCTGGCTCCTGGTCCTCATCAGTGTTTGTGCCTGTTACCTCAGTTATTAGATCAGACTGTCCCATTAACTTCTGGCATAATCCTAACTAACAAGTTACCACTGTGGAGTCTATAAAGTAAGCTAAATCATTTATTTAGTGCCCAAGGCTGTTTCCTTCTTTGCCATTTTACTGGGTTTTTAAGAAGAAATGGATGTGAACACATTTAATCTATCCTGTAGAGACAAAGTCTGAAGTTTGTTTTATTCTAAATAGTCTATCCTTAAATTTTAAAGTTTGAGATTTTTTTATTGTCACTATTCATCCAGTCCTTCAAGAGCTTAATGAAAATTAAATGACATTTTAAAACTTGTAATTCAGACTTTGAGGGTGTAATGACAAAATACAATGACCCATTGGTTTTTATGTTCTGTGATCAAGCAGCCTTCCTGTGAGTATAAAAGTAGATAAGCATCATCTCCAAAGCTAATTACCTTGGACTTTGACAAGAAATAAAGCAGAGTCTCTCGACATATTTATAGAAGTGTAAATTGACATTTACCTTGCAAGCTGGTGGGTTTAAGTGGGGAATCAAATTAGCAAGAAGAAAATAATAAACACCTGGACTCAGCCAGGCGGTGGTAGCCACGCCTTTAGTCCCAGAACTTGGGAGGTAGAGGCAGGCAAATCTGTGTGAGTTCAAGGCCAGCCTGGTCTACAAAGCTACTCAGAGAAACCCTGTCTCGAAAAAACAAGAAGAAGAAGAGAAAAAAAAAAAAAAAACTGGACTCTACCTAGATTTTTATTTTGTTTTTTAGTAGTAGTTTCTTCTACCAAGTCTAATAGTATTTTCTTGTAATTATATATTGTTTCTGCCAACTACACCCTTAAGATGTCAATTTTGTTAGACTTCAGTCGCAAAATTTGTTAATTTTACATACCATTAAATATTCTTTTTTTTGGGGGGGGGGAGCTGGTGAGATGGCTCAGAGGTTAAGAGCACTGACTGCTCTTCCAGAGGTCCTGAGTTCAATTCCCAGCAACCACATGGTGGCTCATAACCATCCATTATAAGATCTGGTGCCCTCTTCCGGCCTGCAGGCAGACATGCAGGAAGAACATTGTATACAAAATAAATAAAATCTTTAAAAAATATATTTTTTTGTCTCTTAGTTGTAAAGAAGATGCTAATTTTTGTATAGCATTCTGAGAAAGAGATGTACAGTTAGAACTCTGTCTGGTCATAGTCATGTAGGTCATACTGGTTTTTGTTTTTGTTTTTGTTTTTTCCTGACAAAGCCAGGTTCTACCTTGGATGTCCCTGAATTATTTGTTTAATCTGCATACATAGTTGGATTACATGGATTCTGATCTCTATGGTAATGAATAAGACATATCAATTTCTTTACATACTGATACAGCATATGGTAGTGGTACAGATTGAAATAAAAGATTGTTAAACTATATTTCAGCTCTCATTGTCTCCCTGTTGCATAGAAATTGTCCAAGTGAAATGGAATCTCAGCATTTAGAACCAGCATCCTTTGAGAGTCTCTCATCCTTCCTTCAATGGGCAGATGAGAAAGCAGAAGCCCAGAGAAAGCTGCGTGCCAAGATGTGGGCACTGGCAGCAAGGTCTGATTGGACTCAGTCTGGTGGTGCCATGCTCAGCACTGCTTCTCCATCTCTGTGACATGGTGCAATCATGCCTGATGTCAGCACTGGTTACTTAATTGGTTTCATGTCTATTCATTTCTTTACCCCATGATGAATTTCAGTTAGGTTAACACTATGTGGCTTTCTTGTAGGCTGGCCTCCACACTCATCCTTTTAATTGTGAAATCCTCAGCACACTCTTGGACCACTTCTTCGGAAACCTTTTAGACCAGCAGCAAGTCATTCGCTGTGATCCTGTTCAGCATAGCCACATTTGAGTTTTCCAAGTCTAAAGAGAACTGGTTTTGGTTTTCCCATGAAGCTGCATCATTGTCTGTCCATCTTACTGGTGGTCACTCTTGTGCCAGCTGTTCTGGTTTTGGAAGATGTGGCCCCGTTGGGAACAAATCAGAGTTCCTACAATGCATCATTTCTCCCAAGCTTTGAACTCTCAGCAGGTTCCTACTCTGGTGATGATGTCATCATAGCCAAAGAGGGAACAAATGTTTCCCTGGAGTGTCTTCTCACAATGGATCAGTATGGAGATGTCTACTGGTACAACTCAAAAGGACGGCGGCTACATGGCAGAGGTAATTCTATACGGTGTAGTCAGCCAAGTGACTCAATCCTGCTTTGGGGGGTTATAACATACTGAGCAAGAATTCTCTAAGATGGGCTAGCTTCAAAGGGAGTTAGAAATACAGTTCAGTGGTTGAGCACTTTCCAAGAATGCACAAAGCCCTGGGTTTGATCCGGGTGGGGGGTTGAGGGAGTAATGTCTGAAGTATTATACCTATCAAAAAGAACAAAATAATTATAATTATTTAACAAAAAAAGGATAGGTATAAATAGGTAAGCTACTTTCTTCCTGTTGAATTTTTCTTCTACTTTTTGTTGTTGTTGTTATTCATTTGTTTTGTTTTGAGCAAAATATTATAGTTCAGGTTCACCAGGAACTCTAGCCATGAATGACTTTGAACTCCAGATCATCCTGCCTCCAAAGTGCTGGGATTATTGGCATGCCCCACCATGCCCAACTTCAACTTTTTTTTTTCCTAATTGAACCTTCATTTGCTTAAAAACAAAGTTTTTCTTTTAATCTTTATTTCTGTTGTAAGAATTGCACAATGATGGGTCATCAAGATAGCTCAGGAAGTAAAGGCACTTGCCATCAAGCCTGGCAACTTTGTACCCATATCATAGAGATAGTAAACCAACTTCGACAAGTTGTCTTCTGATGTCCATACATACACTAGTATGTGGACCCATACATACACCACACACACACACACACACACACTTAAACATA